AATGAGATCTGGTGCCCTCTTCTGGCCAGCAAGGATATAGACAGACAGAACACTATACATAATAAATAAATAAATCTTAAAAAAAAAAAAAAAGAAAGAAAACCCTCAGGCCCAGCACTTCTCAAGCATAACACTTCAATCTAGTGCTCTTTCTGAGACTCATCCCAAGCCAGCTCAGGCTGCTAGGATCTCAGTTTCAGTCTTCAACTTTCTATTACCCATAGTGGGGGCTGGGCACACGGCTGGACTAACAAGGAGGAGGAGGAACAGACAACTGATTTCCCCTGCCAGGCACCCCTCACCTCCCAGCTGCCGAGGTACAATGTCCACCACCACTGAAGTGACCTTGGTGTACCAGTCATACTGCAAGAGAACACAATGGTTAAACTCACCAGAGCAGGGATCTCAGGGCATAGAACACTATGTATATCCCTTTCAAATGCAACTTTGGATACCCTTGGGGAGTGGTGGGAGCTGATATATCTCCTTTATGTTAGCCTGGATCAGGTGCCCACAAGGATCTCAGATAGGCATGTCCCTTGGGCTTCCACCAGACACCCAAGGCTCTTCTTGGGCAGGGGCTGGGACTGTGTAACCCCCCACTATATACTAGTTCCTTAGAGAGCCTGGTACTTATGGATGGGAATTAACAGACAAGCATCTCTGTACTTGGAGGATGCTCTTGAGGTGGTGAGCCCTCAGAGTACTCAAGCCTCTGGTCCTCCTTGAAAAGTCAGGCCACTAATACAGTGAGGCCAGGAGAGAACCCTGAGGGGGAGATCATGCTGGCCCTTCGCCTCGCATCCCCCAGCAAGAAGCTAACTACCCTTCTGCTGACATCCACCTCCAGCTCACCAGGCAGAGCTGGCCACACTGGTGATGAGGAAGTAGAGACGGATACTGCAGGTAGACGATGCGACACTGGTCTGGGCTCAGCCGCGGAGAACAAACAGCCAGCGAATCATCCGAGAGTAGTTCTAGACCACACAGAAATATGAGCATCACACAGACGGGAAAGGTTAACGCATGTCAGGAAAGCACATGTGGGTACCAGTCACTCACCACACTTTCCCCCGCTCAGGTCCACATAGTACAAGGCTGATCTGGAATGGTCAGAAAGACACTCAGCTCCGTGGTCGGATGGACCATAGGACCCTCTGCCCTACCCCACTTCCTCACCTGCGATTGGTGCAGAAGCGGACACCTAGCCGGAAGGGCTCGTGCCACCAGCCCACAAACACCACACCTGTGTCGCCAGGGGCCCAGAAAGCCTGTAAACAAGACCACAAGGGAGGTATAAGCAAGGGGTACTTGCTCGAGCAGGGCATCCCAACTACAGGAGGGGCACAGGTCAACCCGCTGCTGACCTGTCCGGGGGACACATGTTCAGGGACGCCCTCGAGCACTGAGATGTTGCCACTCTCAATGTCCAGCACACAGAGCACAGGAATGCTTTTGGAAACCATGGTTTCTCCCCAGTCTTCGTAAAACACAAACTGATCCCCCTGAGAAGAGAGGACACTCGATGCTCAGAGCGTCTACAGAAGCCTGCCCTGCCTCCCCAGGTCCACAAGGCGCAGTGCGGGGAGTATACGGAGTTGTAGGGCAGCTGGGCAGGGCCTTCACAACCTGGCCACATCACAAGCACCTTGATGGCCTGGTCTGGCTTCTTCGGCCTGGCCATCTCATCATCGCTGGCACTGACGTCCAAGGCTTTGGTTTGAAAGAAGGACTCAGCCTTGGGGCGCTTCTTCTCCGCCACATACAACAAGTGTGTCTCTGAGTATGACCAGGAAAGGCAGCCAAAGCAGTCTGGATGCAGGGAGGGACGATTAGGGGGAACCCAAAGCTATGGTTGCCCCATCTTCCCACCCTGCCTGCTTACCAGCCGGGGGCCTCACCATCCTCATAAACAGGCCCATGTTTCTCCAGGGCTGACAGGTTGAAGCTCTTGAGTTTCCGGTTCTTCTCCCAGACCTGAGGACACCTGGGCATCAGGCTGGCTGCTTTAGTTGTGGGGCTAAGGGACCTACGGCCTGCCACCTCATCCCTTGCGGACTCACCTCCAGGAACTGTTTTTCCTCCCCTGGGGCTGTGCCCCCAGCCTTGCGCAGCACAGCTTTCATGGAGCCCGAGGGAGACTCTCTGCTCAGCAGCCTGAGTATCGGGGTTGCAGGTCAGGATTACACCAAACCCCCCAAATAGCCCTGTGCTTCCCCTTTCCTGGTCACAACCTCTTAGGTGAGACTCTCTCCTTCCTTTCTTTATAAACCGTCATTGGTCTGGTGTTGCAAGATCAGAGGTGGCAGCACAGGAGACGATCTATCTCCCAGCTACCTCCTAGGTAAGTCTGAGACCCCATCCCACACCAGCCCACGAAGCACTTCCAGCCTCAAGCTAGCGGACCTCGTTTCTCTCTTCCTTAGGGGACTTGACTCTCTCCAGATTCCCAGGGACCTAGAACCTGGTCTGGAAGGAGTTTCTAGTATTTAGCAGGCCCTATCTCCAGAGACCAAACAAGCTCTCAAGGAGCAGACACCTGGTTCTTTGCTCCCCTCAAGCTCCCCAAAGTTGTCCCGGCAGGGGATAGGTAAAGAACTCTATGCCCTAAGAACACATGGCGGGCATTTATGAAAGGCTGGCATGGTAGGTGGCTGTGCTCGTGTCTGCAAACCTCCTCTCACACTTACTCCCCCCGGGTCTCCACACTGTTGCCTGCAGGCCCCGCAAACACCACCGAGTCTCCATCATGGAACACTAGGTACTGGCGGCAGAATCGGATGGTCTCCATTCGTTCCAAGTCCCTCTGAGTCCATTCTGCAAGGGAGGCATGAGGGTGTTCAACTTGTCTGGGCCAGTTTGGGTCACTGCCCACCAATCAAGGCCTACCTTGCCCAATCTGTATCCAGACACCGTGAGTAAAGCCTGGGCAACGCTTCCCTTGACATAACCTAAGCCCAGGCTTCCAGAGCCCCGAGCGGACAGCCACTTGGAGAGAACCTACTGCAGACCGACCGTGGAATTTCCAGGGCAGCAGAGCACATGTACGGGCCGGAGAGCCCTGTGAGGGCCACACTAGCACCCAAGTCTGAATTTGACTCCTACACCTTCAACTCATTCACGGGCATGACTAACCAGTAAGGCCAGTACAGTCCCCAAAACACCTGTGCGCAGGAAAGCGGCCCGGGTTCCTCCCCGTACTCGTGTGTGCCGTCAAGCAGCGAGCCCTCCACATTTCCCACCTCGCCATCTGGGTGCACTGCCCATCGCCACCCAGTTCCCTCGGTCTACACACCAGTGTGCACCGTCCGATAGAGGCCCCCATACTGCGTGGTGACCTCCGGGCCCAGGCAGGCGGCGCTCAGCGTAGGCTGGCGGCTAAGGCCCCGGTACAGCGCTGCCGCCTCCTGGGGCTCACTCAGCAGCACCTGCGCAGGGGACACACCAGGGTCAGGCTCGGCCCGGGCTACGGAGGCCACGGGGGCCGCGGGTCGAGCCCTCACCTGACGCTCCATAGCCCTTCCTTTCAGTAGCAGCTAAGGCCCGGAAGTGAGGCTTAGGGGGCGGGGCCTAGGGCGGCCCCCCGTTTCCGCTATACCCGAAGGCAACCTGGGACAGGCAGGGCCACTCGGTGGGAAGGCGGGGCTTGTGAAGGAGCCGCCCCGACGGGAAGGGCGGTAAAGTAGTGAAACTAGACTAGGCAAGTGGGAGGCAGACGGTGTGAATCCAGTCCTGGGCTTTTTAGAGAAGGGAAGCTGTGGGTACCCGAGAAGTGAGAGCGGACGTGTGGCAGCGGAATGCAGGAGCCGGTGTCCGGGGATAGGCGAGGTCTGGGAGGGGCGGAGGAAGACCGGTTGTGAGCAGAAGGCTGCGAAGTCTGAGAGCAAGCCCCGAGCATTCGAAGGGCGGGGCCTTAGAGGAACGCCTATGAGGCCTTTAGGATGAGGAGGGGAAGGGTGGGAACCGAACACTGAGACTAGCGGGTCCGTGGCACCTGTAGCGTTGCGGGCGGGGTACCCGCACGGGCTTCCTTTAGCTCTGGGGCTGATTATGAGTTCTCGCCCCATCTACTGTAGTCCAGGCGGTTACCAGAAAAATAAGGCAGGTTCTCGGGCGAAGCCCTGGGGCACCGACAGAGAAGGGCAATGCTGAACTCTCAAGAGAGAGTGCTGTCCCGGCTTATCGATGACCAGACTTGCCAGAAAGTTATCTGTTTCCACAGCCTTAACCCGCCCTTCTCAGTAACTCATTGCTGCGAATCGTGAGCATGCTGGGTCTCAGCCTAGCACAAAAGGTCCTGGTGGGGTCAGGCTACATGTCAGAGCAGCGAGCCTAGGCAGGCAGTCTCCTGCTCGCGTCACAGGACTAGGTTGACTTAGGTGACAACAGAGGGTTCGGCAACTCTAGGTATCTCCACACAGCTTGGACCAGTCTGGTCTTTTAAATCACCTCTGGGTCCCCTTGAATGAGGGCTTTCCTTCTTACCCAAAGCAAAATTGGTATTCTTTTTTTTACCTATTTCTTATTCTCTAGTGATTCTTAGTTTCTCTATATAGTTCTGGCTTCGAACTCAGAGAGACCCACTTGCCTCTGCTTCCCAAATGCTGGGATTAAAGGTGAGGGTCACTACACTCAGCTTGAACTATTCTTGACTATGTGGAACTAAGGTCTCTCAGCCATAAAAAAATTCTGAGGTTGGAAAAGGCAGGCAGATGTAAAGTTTGCTTGGAAGCACCAGGGGGCAGCACTTGTATATCTAGCTCCTGAGACTCGGGATCCTGAAAATGCCCCTTGGGATGGCATTGGCTTTGAACTGACCTTTGCACCTTCGGGTAGGGTCATTTTTAAGTGACTTGGTGTGTTCTCAGTCCCAGTTGTATCAACACTTCTGAAATTGTGCTCTTTTCCACTTTTTTCTTTAACCGTGGAGAGTATCTTACAAATTTGGGTATTTGCTTGTTTGGCTAAGTTTAGAAATCATCCCAAAGACAGTCTAGAGGTTGTTTATATCAAGTCCTTTTATTTTGATACCACAGAAATACCTTGTCACAATACAGGGGAGGGGACACTGAAGTTCCACGAGTTCTCACAGAGCACAGAAGGACGGCACACAATTCACAAGGTCATGTGGAGGACTCGGGTCATTGCACTTACAGCTGTAAACTTGTTGGTTTGACTTTGTACAGCACTCCTCCCCCTCAAATAAAGAAGGAGAGAAGAAAGGAGAGGGAAGGAAAAGCAAAAACAAGACATGGAAGCTACAGGGAAATGTAGATGGCCACTACTCTCCAGGGTTCCACACTTGGAGAGGAGCTGATTTGACCCCAGAGATTGAATGAGTCTCGTGCACACACACACACACACACGCACACGCACACACACGCACACATACACACACATACATTCATGTACACGTGCTTACACACAGTATCTCACGACTTCTATGGCTCTCCGGTGCCACCTGGTGCATATGGTAGCAAGGTACTGGCACCCAGGGAGACAGAGATGGCATCTCCAAGGAGTTTCAGTTGATTAGGTCTGTCCCTCTGACCCTGTTGGAGTCCACGATGACAAATATTTACAGCATGGGTGAGAAGGGCTAATAGGGCAGGACTGTACCATCAAGGCAAAGGACCTGCCTGAAAAACTCCCCAAAGGCTCCAGAATACAGGCCAGAATTGCTGCCCTTGCTGGTCTCTCATTGTGGGCCCTGAGACCATTTGTCCCACCCAAGGAATAGGAAGGTAACAGTAGGAGGGCTATCACTATGAAGGGAGTATGTTGAAGCCGTGGGTAGGCAGAAGAGGGCTCCCTTGCTTATGACACTGAGAGAGGGAAATAGAGAAGGTCTGGACTCTACCCAGAGACTTCTTACCCATTTGGAGATGCACCCGATGTGTTCTGTGTCCTACAGCAGCTAACGCTGGTCCCCAAGCCTCAGGGTGTCATAGCCCCAGTCAGCAGAAGGACCAGGATATTGACCTAGAAGACTATGGCAGCCACCTTCACAAAGGGGCAAGTTTCTGTCCTGTGGGGACAGCCAGGGATGTAGTGACAGATATCAGAAATGTCAAACTCAGAGTCTGGCCAGAAAAGAAATTTGCTGAAAAGTTAATATTTAGAGCTAGGTGGGCCTACCAGAGGTTGACCTGCGGACATCCTGCCTGCTCTCAGCTCCAAGTCCAGTCCCTTGACTATGAGTGGAAAGGGTTACTGCCATGATCCCAAGTATCTAAACAATGGACACATCCCATACAGTCCTGGGCCTCAATGATGGGCTTCAGCCCTTGCTCAGATGGCCCCGTACAGCCTAGGTCTGATCTCCGAGATGTCCGATAGCATGAAAAAAGCCAAATCCCTGGAACTCAGGGTCTTAAGCTGGACACAGCCTCGACTGTCCCATGCACAGCTGCCACAGGTGGGACAGGATTTCAGTCTAAAGAATTTGTAGGCCTTATTAAAAAAAAATCATGAGAAATGTGGACCCCTGAGAAATGCATGGTACAAACCAGAGCACTCTGGAGGAAGGTCGAACCTCAGTGGGTCAGAGATGCTGACAACAGTGGAACACTTATGCATCAGAGGAGAGGGCAGGCAAGTCCTGGAGACAGATGTGGAGAGGACCACACGTGCCCTTCAGTAAGTTTTGCTTCTGAGAAGCGTTCTGAGCTCAGCCGGAAGCTGTTATGTGAGTAGTTAGTTACTCGGATATTTTCCGCCAAAGAGCCCACAGCCAGCTCTTCCTGGGAACCCTATGACCCTGGCTCCAGTCCAGATCTCCTGGGTCACGGTCCTTTAAGACTCCTCATCACGAAGGGGAGGCAAAGAGCAGGGTTAGTAAAGATCTAGGGATCCTAGGGCACACGCCCAGGCTCTGCTCTCGACTTCTGCCTCTCCACAGATGTGGCCCAGCCTTGCCCTTGGGAAGTGCCCCGCTGCAAAGCGGTGACCATATTCTTTAGGCCCAGGCCTGGGGCAGGAGGGAAAAATGATAAACAAGTAGAAATCCTACAGCAAACCCACAGAACGTCCGTACGCATGCATCTGCTGCAGGCTCTGATCACTGCTCTCAGGTTTCTTTTTTATCTGCTAGCGTGGACAGATAAAAACAGCAAGGTGTATGGGGGCCTCACTGCCTGCCCCACGGCTTGGCATACTCAGGTAGTCCGGCAGGTCTTTACTAGCTTGTGCAGAAGGTAGAGAGAAATGCCCCTAAAGGAGAGGGTTGGAGGCAAAAAGTACTCCAGGCAAGAGGGTCGAGCATTTAAAATGAATGAAATCGTGCAAAGAGGCTGCGAGCTGTGCATGCTCCACTGCGGGACAGGCGCTGACCCACCCGGCAGCAGTGAGTCCTGCCACAGGTCAAACATGCCACAGACTTAGAATTTACACACACACACACACACACACACACACACACACACACACGCATGCTCTCACTTTCTCTGTCTCACACATACTCACACTACACAGGATTGGTTGGGGTAGTGATATGAGCAGATCTATCCAGTTTCTCAACTGCATGTTTGCAATTAATTCCTTATATGTAACATGGAATTTATTAAATATTAACAGTTGTCTTTGAGGGTTTATATTTCATTGCATAGAACATTAGAGATGAGACTTGTGGCTGTGCCCGAGATGAAGGGAGGCCTCCAAGGGAAGGGCTTTGAGGAGGCATGCAGCCCAGTCCACCAGGTGAATGGACAGAATCACACTCCCCTCACCCACAGGGCTCCGAGCCTTTCCCTTGGCCGGTGCATAAGTCCTGGCTCCTCTGGTCTGAGCATGCCCACTGCTGATGGCTTAAGAAGGTCTGGAATTGCACAGTAAACAGGCGGGCTGAGGGGCCTCCCTAGACCTCGCCCTGGGTTTGTGCTCTTGGTGGCCTGCTGCCCGCTATTGCTTCTAAATCAACATTTCTCCCCGTGCTGAGCAGGGGCAGAGAGCAGAGAGGAAACCAAACCATCAGTCACAAGGTGGTGGAGGAGACAGACAAAGGGCTAAAAGCAAAGAAAAGAAGGGAAGAGAAAACAAAACAGAACAAAAAAATGTTCATGAGGTATACATGTAAATCTGTATGATTAAACTGGAATGAAAACTGGAATGATTAAGGCTGTTCTTGAAATCAAAAGAAATCCCCAGGTGTACAGACGAGGAGCCGGCTGGTCGAGACAATGGCGGTGCTGCTGGGTGCTCACAATGGCTGGGGGATGGCTTTAGGACGATGGCAGGCAGGCTTGGTATGCTGCCATCCACGGGCTGGGAGAAGCCTCAGCCGGTGCCCACGCTGCTTTTCGGTACTATGGCCTCTTACGTCAGCGATGAGACAGTGTTAGGTCCTAATGTTTATAAAGTTCTCCCAAACCCATGCTGGCCATGTGGAGGTCTGCTCCAATGTCACCCGGGTGGGCAGGGTGAAGGGGGCAAGGCCTTATGGCCACAGAGGGGTCCGGGCCAGCTGGAATGTGAAGGAAACGGAGCCTAGGGCCCCCAGCCCTCAAAGCCCCTCTCCAAGGCTGTGGAAAAACTTCTGGCATCTTAGAGGGAGGGCAGTGTGCACCCAAACTCTGTGTATAACGCATTTGAAGCCTGGCTGGCCAGGCCGCAGGAGGCTGTGGGAAGAGCAGCAGACAGCCAAGCAGCAACAGTGTTCTGGTGCGGGCTCCTCTCTCCCAAGGACGGCTGGCCTGAGGAAGGCAGGGTCTCTGGAAGGACAATGAAAGGTCCCCCAAGCCAATGGTCCCACTGCTCCAGCAGAAGCTTCACCTAGGTAGCTGCTGTTAGGAAACGTCCTGCGCTCTGATGAGGCCTGCCTGCTGTGGCCACATGGTGTGAATCTTTGGGCCAAGGGTTTGCCAGATTGTAGATGCTTTGAAAAGAGGAGAGAGGGAGGGAAGAAAGAAAGATTTTTTTCCCCAAGAACCCTGGGCAGTTTCCCACCCTCCTCATATTGCTTTCAGACACTGCATGTATAATGGCCAGGGTCTTCTTCACCTAGACGATTCTATCCATTGAGGCAAGTAAAAGTTAGTGTTTGTGCAAGTTAAAGGTCATGGAAAGAAGGATTCGAATAAGGAAGAATCAGATCTCCAGGACAAGACCTCCCTTCTCTCTCTCCTGTTTGAGACAACAGGATCTCACTATATTGCCCAAAATGGCACTAGAGTGACCCTCCAAACTCAGCCTATGGGGTACTGGGGCTCACAGGCATGTGCCACTACTTGATATTTCTTTTTTCAAATGTGTGTGTGCACACACATGCATATGGAGGTTAGAGAAGATCTTGCAGGAGGTGGATCTCTTCTACCTTCTACCATGTGGTATCCAAACGCAGGTTGTCAGGCTTTGGCCACTGAGTCCTCTTGATGACCCTCAGCATTTATTTTGTAAGAAGGCTTCCTTTTCGTTTTGCCTAACAGTAAAGGAAGCTCTGGGCGGTGGTGGCACACGCCTTTAATCCCAGCACTCGGGAGGCAGGGAGGCAGAGGCAGGCAGATCTCTGTGAGTTGGAGGCCAGCCTGGTCTACAGAGCAAGTTCTAGGACAGGCTCCAAAACTACAGAGAAACCCAAAGAAAGTGTGGGGAGCCAGGTATGATAGTACACATCCATAATCCTAGCTCTAAGCAACACAGGCAGGAAAAGCTCATGATCAGCTTGATCTACACATATTGAGTTACGGACCAGTCGGTCCTACAAATGAAATCCTGTCTCAAAAACACAAAGACAAACAGGAAGAGTGGGAGAGATGAGGTTTTGTTTCACAGGATAAGCATCTCTAGCTCATCTCTGAAATCGGCATAAAAACACCAGGAGATGGACACAGCAGCTCTGACCACTTAGCCCAATTGTTGGCCCAGTGCTGGACCCAGAGGAAGATCTTAACTAGGAAGCCGTGGTCTCGATGGCCTGCCCACGCTGTGGCTGGGCATGGAGCAAAGTACACCCGTGCCACCTTTCCTTCTAACAGTTCTCAGGCCCCAAACCTAGGCTGGCCCTGCCCTGAGCCATGGGCTGTCCCTTCCTGTGCCCTGAATAGCACTTGAGAGTTTATATTTGTTTCAGGGAATGCCAAGAAAACGTTGAGCTGAGAGAGAAAGTGGCAGAGTGTGCACCACCCTAGAGCAAACCCCAAGCTCCTTACATTGGCCTGCCGTACCCACCCAAAGGCTCCAGCCACTGTGCCCCTCTGCTATGGTTTAGTAGTGCTTATCTTTGCCTGTCCCTGAAGCCTGGCAGCTCCACTCAGTACCAGAGCCTTTGCTGGCACTGTGCCTCCGCATGCCTTCAGCCCTGACTGCTTTCTTTAGGGCAGCTCTTACCACTCCAGAAATCCCGCTTTGCAACGCTTGCCACCTGCCGAAGTCCCTTTCAAGTTGACTTTTATTTATTTTATTTGCTTACTTATTATTTTTTAGTCAGATTTCATTATGTAGCCTTGGCTGGTCTGAAGCCTGCTCTGTGGATCAGGCTAGCCTCAAATTCAGAGACTGTTTGCTTCTGCCTCCAAGTGCTGGACCAAAGGTGTATGTATGTTACCATACATGGCTAAATTTTTATTTTGAAATGTACTTATTCTTTGTTTCCATTAATGGACCGCTGACTTGAAAGGACAGAAACTTGGTTTTGATTCCTATGTTTCCAACGTCTAAAATAGGGTTTGGCACATACTTGGGGCTTGACAAGCATTTGTTGAATAAATAAATAAGAGATTGGACCTTTTCAGTGCCTCGAGACTCCTGAAAAGACGGCAGTCCTTGGAATTTCTTCTCTATCACAAGCACTTACTGTCCAAGGCTCCCTTAAAATGACTTGCTTACTGGCTGTGGGCCCCACCATGGCTACCCACATACCTCCACAGTCTTAACTCTAGAGTGGAAAAGGAGCAGGAGGTGCGAGGCCTCCTGCAGAAGGCATGATAGGTGATTCCTGACTGAGCAAGGAGTAGCAGCAAAACAGCCAGGCTATTCTCCCCAATTCTGGGTGAGGCTTTTCCTCTTCTGTCCACAGAGGCAGGGCCAAGGCCAGGACCAGGGCAGGCTCCAACAGGAGCATCCCATTGTACTTGACCACTACAGTCTAGGTGGTGAGGACTCAGACCCTGAGCCTTCCCGTTCTCTCGTTCTCTCGCTGACTTGACCTAGAATGGGGCTGAGCCTGGCTGACCGGTGAGTGCTTTCCCTCCGTGTTCCTTTTCTGCCTGCCTCTCTCCCTAGCTCCCTCTTTCTCTTGTGAGTCGCACACATACCCTGTGACTCTAAGAGTGTCTTGATTTCATGCCCAAAGCTGCTAAGTTATTTAGAGTTTGGAGACACCAGCAGCAGGCACCAATGTTTCCAGTGAGAGCCATAGTCTATCCTGTCCTCCAGGATGACTTTGAACTCAGACCCAAGGTTGTAGGGGTCTAACTGGCTTCACTGGGCCCTTCCTCAAGGACAGCTGATTCAGCACCATGCCAGCTCTGGTGTCTGATGGGGTTGCTAGACCCAGCCCAGCTTGAAGAAGCATACCAGGTACTTTTTAGTTCATACTTTCAGGAACAGGGCCCTTCACCCACTTTTCAGGTACCATAACCTGGCCCTGACACTCACTGTTATACGCAGAGTCCAGAGCTGCGCCCAGGCCTTTGACTCCAGAGATTTTTCCACAGCAATGATGTCATCTTTCTTCAGATCTTCAGGAGCCTGAGGAGCAGTGCAGAGGAAGGCTGTGAGTTTCACTGCATTGCCTGCTTCCTACAGCCCCAGATACCCCATCATGTTGGCAGCACGGCCGGAGGTCTGGGATGGCAAGCGGACATTCGCCCTGATGTCCATTTGCTGGGGACCTCTACTGAGTTGGCCCCACGTCTGAGGCACTGAGGTGTCCTTGTTCTTTCTCTTTCTTTCACCCCACTCACAGGAGGGCACACTACAGCTCTCACCATGCCATCACTAAAGACTGCACTCTTCCCAGAGGACTCCCGCTTTGGGATTTCAGAGGCCCCCAACCACCAGTAACTCAGGCCCTTCCCAGCAAATGACAGGTGCAGGCACTCACCCTTCTGGACACAATCACCAGAACGAGGAAAATTTTTTGCCAAAAGCAGAGACAGCTGTGACACAGAAAACAGAGCGAGATGTCAGGAAACGGGGCAGACTCCTAGTCAGGGGCATTGGTTGCGGTAAGGCCCAAGGCACAAGGACTACCTAAAAATCACTGGGTACCAGCAGGTGGGCTGTGTCTGGTGACTGGACCTAGAATCATCCCATGACCCGCACTTCCCCAGAGAGGCCCCCACCTCGTGAGGACCCGGCCCCAGGCAGCCCATACCTTCTGTCAGCTTCCCAGCTTGCTCTGCTGCCCCACCAGGGAGGATTTTGGAGAATACACTCTCCCCATCTGCCCCTGTCTGACCAGTGGGCGCTCCTGGGGTCCCTCCAGGCCTGGATCCAGGTTTCACCCCTATGGGAAAGAGAGCATCATCATGGACAACACTGTGGCTTGTTGTCTGAGGTCTGAGCGGGAGAGGGAATCTGGACATAGGGAACCTGCGAGGTGGAAGAAGGTGGGTTAGAGGAATAAACAGAGGATGATGAGGGAAACAGAGAGGACTGAAGGGGAAAGGGAGGAGAAAGATGAGGGGCAGAGTAAAGGAAGGAAAGGCAAGGAAGGAGGGAATAAGAAGCCATGGCTCAGCTGGGCGGTGGTGGCACACTACTTTAATCCCAGCACTTAGGAGGCAGAGGCAGGTGGATCTCTGTGAGTTCGAGGCCAGCCTGGTCTGCACAGTGAGTTCCAGGTCAACCAAAGGTACACAGTAAGACCCTGTCTCAAATATATATGAAGTCATGGCTCTGGTCCTTGCTCACCGGTGCCTTCTAGGATGGAGTTCTCTCTGGTCCAGGCTCATTTTCTGGTATGAGGTCTGCAGCCTACTGGATACTTAATGGGGACGAGTGAGAACATGCACTGGGTGGGGAGGTGAGGTACCCGTGGACAGGGAAAAGTCAGTCTGAGTGTTCTGGGCATAGCTCACCTGTGGGTCCAGGTCCTGGAGCTGGCTGGGCCTGAGGAGCTCTCCCCTGTTGGGGCGCTTTGGCTGCCGCTTTGGAGCTGCTTGCCTGTTCCGCACGTGGCTGCAACACAAAACCTGTAGCTGAGATCCTGCTCATCCCACCCTGCCCTGAAACCACAGAGACATGCAAACTTTAAATGAAGCATCTGCCCTAGGGGAGTCGGGGACCCAGGCACAGGAGCTAACTCACCAGTCCTGCTGGCTGGGGCCCTGGGGCTGTGGTAGGGCCTGGCTGAGGTTTCCCTGCTGGCTGACTGGCAGCAGGGGCTGAGCCCCGGGTGGTTGGCTGGCTCTGTTGCTGCAGCCGAGCCTGTGATGGAGTCTGCTGCGGAGCTTGCTGCCCCACACCTTGCTGTTGCTGCGGCTGCTGTTGCTGCTGCTGCTGCATCTGTGACTGGCGTGATGCCGTGCCCGGGGGCATCTGCCTGGACGATGGTGACTGTGTCTGTTGTGGTCCTGGAGCTGCCTGCCGAGCCTGCATCTGTGGCTGTGACTGAGGTTCTGCCTTTGGCTGCATTGCAGTGGGCCCCGAGTGGGTCTGCCGGGAGCCCTTCTTGCTCTCGGAGGCATGGTGGTACGTTGATGGGGCACGGGAAGGCTGTGAGTAGTCAGCAGAGCTGGGGTACCCAGGCTGACCCTTCTTCTGCATGGCAGGGGCAGGGCTAGCCTGAGGGTGAGGCCGGGTTTCGTGGCGACCCATGTCCCGAGTATGTGGTTTGGCAGCACGCCGTCCTGGCTCCTCACCAGCATGGCGGCCTGAGTGCCTCCCGTGGTCACTGTGGTGCCGGTGTTCCTTAGCTGAGGCATGGCGGCCCGGACCGCCCTCATCATGAGGCCACAGGCCTTCCTCAGGGGGCTCATCATAGTCATGGTAGCTGTGCCTGGCAGGGCCTCGCTTCTGGGAGGAGGAGACTGTATGACCCCCATGGTGCCTGAACCGGTCGGAGCGGGCATCTCGGGGCTTATCAAACCAATCTGTCTCCTCCTGGCCCAGGTGATACGCTTCAGAGACCAAAAACAGAACACCATCAGCCCCTGGTTAGCCGGAGAGGGGACCTAGCTGAAGCCATGCAAGGGAACCAGAGAGTGGATACCACAGCCACAAGCAGGTCACTAGGTCCCCACCCTCCAACAACCAGGAACCAGGGCACAAGTAGATAAGGCAAGGGCCACCTGCAGCAGGAACTACAGATGAGATGCCAAGACAGACCCTGCTGGGACATCTTGGGGCCCAGGGTCCCACAGCCAGGCAGACCCCCAGATGCTGAGCATTTGCAGAAATCACCCCCAGCTGCCATTACCTTCACTGTCAGAAACCACGCAGTGGGAATCATCCAGGATGTAGCCTTCTTCACGCTTATACGCGTGGGCCCGTGGTCCATCCTTGACATGTTCCTGGACGTCAGGCATGGAGTGGCTGGAGCAGAACTGTGGGCAGGTATCCCCAGGAGGAAGAGTGCCCCCTGCAGGGCGGGGCCGCCCTAAGGGGCTGACAGGGCTCTCCTCTTCAGAGGCCTGGCTCCTCATGGGGGGCCGTGCCCGGCCGTGGGCCGTGCTCAGGGATGAAGGCTTGGGGCCCGCCTTCTGAAGTCTCTCCACAGCCTCCCGTTCCCGTTCATACCCTTTGCCTCTGCCACTGAAATCGTGGCTAGACAGCTTCTCCCCACTGTATGCGGAAGCCACCCGGGACCGGCTGCTACCACCATACATGCGGTCGTCCTCCTCTGCGGCGTCCCGGCTGGACACCCCGTAGTATCTCTGCTGTTCATACACATTCTTCTTGAGCCCATAGGTGATTTCATCCTGGAACTTCCTGCCCCGAGAGGTCAGGCTGCTGCTCACAGTGGGTGTAGGATAGGAGGCCAGGTCTGACTCCACATCCTTGGCCTCCTCAATAGGTGAGAACTTGGAGATCTTCTGCTCCATGCCTTGCTTCCGGTGCTTGCTACGCTTCGAGGAGATGGCAGCTGGGGCCAGACTCTTAGAAGGATGCTTGGGCCCCATGGGCCCTGGACCATACTTCTCGGCTCGAGCCCCGTGTCTATAGTCACTGTCGCCGTAATAGTGGGTGCCGGCTGGTCGGCCATTGCTCTCCATGCTCCGGTGATGACCCGATTTCCCACGGGGGTCATATGAGTCCTCCTCAGATTCCTCCTCACCTCTGCCATAGCAGCAGGGCAGTGTGGGTCCCTCAAGGGCAGCTGGTTCTCCAGGCTCCTTCCCAGGACGCCCACTGACTCCACCTGGCCCCAAAGGCTCCAGCCGCTGGCTATCTGTGGCAGTGGGGGTGCTGTCCTTCGTCAGCTCACTGATGTCATCGATCATCACGTAGTTTCGAGGAACATTCTGCTCCAGACTGGTGTAATGGGAGTCGGAGGGATAAGTAGGGGCTGGGCTCTGGCTCACACTGCTTCGGTCACTGCCCCGGGGAAGCTCTGGGGCTTTCCCTTGCTCATAGCTGCTGCTCACTGCTGGACTGCTGTAGCTGGTTTCAGAGGGGGCTGACGACATGGGTACAGCAGGGCTGGTGATCACCTCATAATTGGTGGGTACCTTCTGCTCCAAGTCAGCTAGTGAGGTCTGACGTGGCTTCTGGTGGGGGGCACGACTGTCAGCTTGGGCTGGATACAGGGTGCTCTGTGTGGTTGGCATGGGAGTTGGGGCCGCATAATGGCCTGTGGGGTGGAAAGCCTGCTGGCTCGGCAGGCCAGACTCAGCCGGATAACTGGTTCCAGGAGGGAAAGTAGGAGCTGGGTATGTGCTAGGGCCAGTGTAGGTGGGTGCCTGGTGGGCTGGAAATCCATTCTGAGTTGGTCCACTACCACCTGCAGGGTACTGTGGGGCTGCAGGTGGGAACCGGGGCTGTTGGAAGGCAGTGGGGCCAGAGGGGGTGGCAGGCACAGCAGCAGAGGCAGGGTAGTCCACATACTGGCCAGCGGGCGTGGTACAACCCTGGAGCCGCAGTTGGTTGAGCTCGCTGTCAGACAGGTAGTCCCGATGCTCACCAAGGCCACGTAAAGGTGGATAGTCACGGCCACCCCGGTCTTTGGCCAAAGACTCTTTGCGTTGGGTGATGCCCAGCTCTAGGTACTTGAGCTTGGCATCAATCTCCTTCTCCTCCTCGTCCAACTCCGCCTGCTTCTTGCGCAGCTTGGTGGACTCATGCTCCACCAGCCGCAGGTCCCGGTCCAGCTCCCGGAGCAGGCTGGCCTTGGTAGCAGGGACGGTGGTGGGCCCCGCCAACCCTCGCTGCAGCAGACTGGCTGCATACAGCTGTGAGGGCACCTGGCCAGCCAGGGGAAGGTGAGCTTCCTCTGGAGGGGGGCTGGGCAGTGTCCGCTTCACCTTGCGGACCAGGCCGTTGGGTGGTAGCGCCGACACCTGAGACAGAGGGAAGGGTGGGCAGCACTGAGACCCAAGGTGTGGGTGACTTTGCTGAGGCATGGGGTAGAAGAACCAGGATTGGAGGTTCTTTGAGGCAGGAGCTGGGCTCCACATTGCTGATGCCCTGCTTTACCAAGCAGCCTCAGGGTCTACCCTGCCCCCCTCTGGTCTGGGCTTCTTTGCCATGAAGGGAAGGCCTATGATCATTTAGCCGTCCTTTCCAAAGCTTTGGGCAGCAGGTAGGTGGTAGGGGTCAGATTGCCTCCAGTGCTATGCACAGCAGCTGTAAGAAGCTGTGCACATCTCCAGCAGGCTCGCCTGTCACTGACGTGAGAAGAAAGGTCTGGCTAAGTTTGGGACCTAGCACCCTGTGGTGGCTGAGGGCAGCGGGAGTCAAGGGAAGGAGACGTGTAGTAGAGGGTGCTAGAGCCCCAGGCTCCTTTAAGAACAGGATCACAGGGAGGGGCAATGCTACCCATGTCGATTGTGTACAGGCTCCAAGCCTATGCTTCCTGCTTCACTCCTCTCCAGAGCAGCAGGCTGCTCAGTTGCCGCCCACCTCCCTCTAATGGTCCTGCACCACCTCTGCCCCACCTAAGCTGTGCTCCAGTCCAGACCCTGCTCCCTCTACCCGGCAACCTCTTATTCTTGCTAGACCTCTCTCCAGGCACAACTTCCTGCCCAGTGCCCTGCTGTGCTCTGTCCACCTCTCCACTGGCTGGAGAGGCTCTGCTTTCCCTGAAGACCTGTGCTGATGGAGTCTCCACCCTGGATTCGCTTTACCTCCAGAACGCCCCACTCTTCTGGATTTCACATGCCACCCAAACCCCCTGAGAACACTGGAGACAGACACCAAAATTCTTTCTTTTTGTCTTGCCAAGCAGCCGCATAAAAACTTCCCACTGTTCACACTGTGTCACAAAGAAAATGACAGTGTGACCTCAAATGTGAAAACAAATCTAGCCTTTCGGGGGACACATTTTGAAATCCTCATCATCTATCTTTCCGTATTTTGGCCACACACCTTGAGTGTCCATCAGTGTCCTGGCCCCACATGGCTAGCCCATGGGGGCCTGTGTGCTTGGAGCCAGGACCACCTTCCTGCCTCTTTAATCTGCCCGCCTTGCCAACCCTACAGGACCCTTCACTACACACCGCATAAACCTATCCCAGTGCCATGCTTTCCTCTGTGTACACCCCACAGTGCTTCTGGCTCCTCTCTCCTCTCCTTGGGGTTTCTTCCTTTGGCCTATTGGCCCACACTGTATCCTGGGAACTCTGAAATAAGCATCTTGTTCTGTTTCACTTCCCAAAACCTTCAGAGACTTCAGGAAAAGCCAGCCTTCCTCAACCTTGCACTGCGTCTCCAAGCTCTCCCACAACTGAAGCCCATGGCCAGGCTCTCAGTTCTAACAGGTCGGGAAACCGAAGCCATAGACAAGGAGCCTGTGCTGTATCAGGGGGGCAGACAGACGGAAGCAGAGTTACTGCGGAAGGAGGAATAGGGAACACAAGAGAGCACAGAGCGTGCCTGCAGCCCTCCAGATGGGCCCTGAGTGCTGGGCCACAGGCCGGAGCCTGCTAGGGGCAGTGAAGCCCATCTAGAGATGGGAAGTGTGGAACAGTGCAGCCTGAACCGTGGTACAGATTTCCTACCTAATATCCACAAATAAGGCTTGGAGTGGAAGGTCCTAGATGGGGGGCAAGAACTGAGAAAGACTGAAAGGAGGTGACAGAGAGGGACAGTGTACTGGCAGTGAAGGGACAGGGCTGTGGAGAGGCTGAGGTTTCTGGTAGTATCTGGGGAGATGGCTGTGGGGGCCCAGGTGTGTCTTTGTGTGTCCAGGCTAGCCTTGTTGGGCTCTGGGCTCTGGCAGATGTGCACTGAGGAGCTTCACTCCTCAACTCCTTCCCCTGGGCTTTTGGAGCCAGTCGTGACTCCATTCCCACCCCAGAAGAAACCCCTCCCTCTGGGCCCCCTCAGGCTAGAAATAGACCCCTGCCCCACCCTGGACCAGCCCCTGTGCCCATACCTGGCTACCTAGTCCCCCCTGGTGCTGGTAGAGGGAGAATCTCTCTTTGGCGGACTCCTCTGCGGTGGGGCTGAGGGGCTTAGGGTCAGACAAGGACCGCTGCAGGGTCTTCATGGGGCGAGGCAAGGTCTGCTGGCGAAGAGTGCTGTCGGGCATGAAGTGCTTCTGGGGACTCACATGAGCCTTGTTCAGCCTCTCACTGGAAGCAAACGAGGTGTCCAGGAGCCGGTGTGGGGACAGGGGCGACACTGGCGAGTAGAGCACTTGTGGAGACTTAGGAGGCTGGCGGCTCACAAGCTGTGAGAGGGACTCCGGAGGCAGGTGGGCCTGGTACCCAATCTCCAGAGGATCCGGCTTCTTCTTCTCAAATCTGCCTAGGGGTCCTGGGGTGACTATCTGGATGCCAGGCAGGTAGGGGCTGATGGCAGTTGGTCCTATAAGCTGTGGCCCAGCTACACCCTGGGCCTGCCCATCTGGTTCTGTCTGGCAGGCCAGACTCTCCCCACGCCCAGTCTTTTCTGGGGCTGATATGTATCTGATGATCTCCACCTTGGGGTCCGTGGCGGCTGTGATGTGGATGGCTGGAGAGACCCTAGGCAGCTGGTCAGGCTCCGTCTGTACGGAGCAGTCACTAATGGTCTGGATGCCTATGCTGCTCATGGCCCTTGCAGCGGTGGCAGCAGCGGATGAGGCAGTGGCATCATGCTTGCTGTCAGAACCTGAGTCTGAGTGGCGGGAAAGACGAGACCTGCGGCGGCGCACAGGCTGCTCCCATTCGGCATTGTCCTCGTCATCCGTCTGCACACTACAGTCAGCGCTGCGCCGTGTCCTGCGCCTCCGGGTCAGAATGTAGCGGCCCTCACCCTCCTCCTCCTCATCTGTCTGAACGCTGCTGTCTGCAATCCTCCTGACCGTGCAGGGTTCGGGTCCTGACTCTGCCTCACAGGCGTCTCTCAGGCGTGGCATTGAGTGACGTTTCTTGATGCCGCTGCGGCCTGCCTCCCACTGCTCCTCAGTTTGCAGTGACATATCTGAGGCAGAGCTGGGGAGGCCCCGGTGCAGCACTGGCTCACGAGGTTGCCCAGGTCCTTCGGTGCCTGCCATGGCAATGAAGGCTGGGTGGGTCAATGGTGGCCAGTACTGGCCATTCTGGGCCAGCTCGGTAGCAGCTGGTGGAGGCCCTCGGCTAGGTGCCTCACAGGTTGGAGGAAAGGGGGCCTTCTGCCGCTGTTTCTGTTCCTCTAGCTGCTGCTGCAGCTGCTGCTGCAATTGCTGGATCTGCTCCAGCTGCAGCCGCTGCTGTGCCAGCTGCTCCCGCTGCAGTGCAAACTGAGCCTGGCGTTCTTCTTGCTGCTGCTGCAGCACGTGTTGCTTGATGGTCTGCAGCTCCTGCAACTCTCGCTGCACCAGCAACTGTTCTTCCTCTCGGTGCCGCTGCAGTTCCACTCTCTCTCGCTCCAGCTCCTCCTGCAGCCGCAACTGTCGCAGCTTTTCCAACTCCACCCGCTCCCGCTCCAGCTGCAACAGCTGCTCCTGTTGCTTCCGCTGCCGTTCCTCCTGAGATGCTTCCTCCTTCTCAGCCCCAGGTCGGCTGAGGACTCCACTGCCACCCCCTGCGGCGGCAGCATCTCCTGGTGGCTTCTGGCCAGGTGCGGGGGCCGGGGTAGGGGCTACTGGGGCTTCCTTGATGACAGCAGGGGCAGTTGTGGACAGAGGTTCTTCACGAGCAGCCCCTGCTGGTAGCTCTGGCCTTGGCGGGCCCCCTGCCCCTGAGGTCTTGGCAGCAGCAGGCTTTCCCAGATAAACAGGCCCTTCAGCAGGTGGGATGCTAGAAGCAACGGGGAATCGACTTGGTGCAGGATATCGGTATAGCCCTGCTGGCCCAAGAGGTACTCGAGGAGCAATCATGGGCACACGGGTCAGGCTGGTGAGGGGCACAGCCGTGACTCCACCAGATACATAAGGCCTGTACATGCCACCACGCACCATGGGCCTCAGTACTGAGGCAGGCTGGGTGGTGATGGGCAGGGTTGCAGCAATTGGAGTATTGATAGTTGAGTAGATCATGCCATCGGCTGCACGCACCGTCGCTGTGGATGGGAGCAGCTGTCTGACTGTGGTTCCCTGGCTTGCTGCAGGCCCATACTGAGCAAGGTTCCCAGGGCTTGGCTGCCCCTCTGGGTAGGTGGGGTTGCCAAGGAGGCCAGATCTGAGGGGAGCCAGAGCCTGTGGGGCACTGAGTCCCGGCCCATGCTGGGGCTGGTACTGCACCAGGTCAGGTGCACCACCTCCACTACCGTGCCGTCCGCCGTACTGATCCATGGAGTTGAGGGCAGCGCACATACGGCTGATCTCCCGGGCTGTGGTGGCGCTGTACTGGGCCAGACTGGCCTCCTGAAAGCCAACCGCATCTCCCCGTGGGCCATACCGGTGGTCTGAATAGATGTTTGACACTGAGCTATAGCGTCGCATGGGAAGTGGGTGAGCTAAAAGGTCTGAGGGGTGACGCAGGTCTGTGAATGAGCCATACTGTAAGCCCTGCCCTAAGTAGCGTCCGTCTGCAAAACCTAAGCTGTAAGAGTGCTTCAGTGAGCTGAGGTCCACAGCTGACTCTCTTCCAGAGCCCTGGAAGAGCTGCCCAATCCTGTGGGCATGGTAGTTGAGGCCAGCTTCAGCCAAATTGGTATCAGACATGGAGGAATATAACCTTCCAGGCAGGCCCTGTGGGTAGGGCCTCTGTTCTTCATGGGGCCCAGGTCCTACTACCCCCTGTGCCCGGAAGGTGAGGGGCTCAGGGGGCTCAGGGTCTCTGGGACTGTAGAAGGGGCCATTGCTTTGGCCGGGCAGGGTAGCATCTGCCACACTCTTGTCAGGTGCACTGGGGGCAGGATGGAAGGTGCCAGTGCAGCTACTGCCAAAGGGAAACTTGTAGACCATGTCACAGCATGCCAGTTGGCTCTCGGGCCTCATCCCGGTGAGGTCCAGGGCACCTGCTGGCTCTTCTGGGAGCAGTGTAGTCACGGTGCCCGCTGTGCCCTCTCCCATCTGCACCACCACTGTGTGTGGCTTCCGGGCACCCGGCAAAGCATGTGACCGGAGCTCTGCAGGAGTAGCCCGGTGGGGTTCACCACCAGGCTCTGGCACTGGTCCTGGCTTGAGGCTAACACTCTGGGCGGCGCCCACCTGAGTAATCAAAATGTCCCTTCTGGCCAGAGGTGCTACCTGGTTCGGAAGGTTATACCTGGCAAACTTGGCCTCCCTGGGTCTTCCCCGGGGCCCACCTCGGTATGGGGCTGTCTGGACAGCCTGCTCGACTTGTTTGACCTGGGCCAGGCATACAGGGCTACCTGAACCCTGGCCAAAGTCAAGGCGGCTCTGGAAAGGGTCTCCATATACCACTGGCTGCTTTTGCTGAGCCATAAGCACAGATGAGGCCATGGTGATGCTCACAGTCGTGGCAGTGGCCAGGAAGGTATGGGTCTGTTCTTGGGCATTGAGGTTGATAACCAGAGGCTGCACAGCAGTTGACTGGCGTCCTGGAATTGGATCCAGGGCAAGGCCATACTTCCTAGCTTCCACCGCAAGAGAGGTCAGATCCATACCCTGGTCGGTGAGGATAATGGGCGTGGGCTTGACAGCTGTGCGAAGATCTACCACTGCACTGCCTGGGGGCCTGGGGCCTGGCTCGACTCTAGATGTTCCAGGGACAGAGGAGATCCGGCATAAGGAGATGTTTTCAGCGGGGAGGGCACCCCAGCCGTACAGTGCTAGAGGTCCATCGGCACCAGCACTGGGTGCTCGTGGGAAACCAGGTGGCCCGGCTGGTTCTGAGGGCATTTGCGATGCACTTGGGGGTGTTGTCTGGCTGTAGCTATGGGAGGTGGGCTGAGTGTCAGTAGGTGAGCACAGTGGGGAAGTAGAGGCACTGGCATGTACTGTTCTGGTCTGGCTAGACGCATCTGACGCTAGCGTGATAACCATGACGGGAGCCTCCTGGGAAGACTGCTGCCACACCAGGCGAGGCGTACCCGGTCGGTGTGGTGTCTGTGTGCCCTGGGCGACCATGGGGGAGGACGTGCCAGGGCTCCGTGGAGTGTCCGGGGAAGGCGTTAGGCTTGGTGTCTGTGTAGAGAACTCTGCTGTGGCCCTTGGGCCCAGCTTGCCGGGTGAGAATGTGGGGCTCTCTGAGGGTGTAGATGGAGAGAGAGGTGGACTAGAGCCTGTAAAGTAAGAATATCCCCGAGAAGACTGGGGGGCACCAGCCTCAGCATCAGCTCCACTCACAGGCTTCTCTCTGGGGGCCCGTCCACCTGCAGGAGGGCCACTGGGAGCCTGGGGCAGCTCTTCTGTTTGGGACCCATAGTTAGCAGTGGTTGGGGTCTGTCCATAGCTGTGTGCTGTGGAAGATGGTGACAGGATACGCTCTGTGCCAGCTGGGGAGGGTGGCGTCATATACCCTCGGGGAAGGCTGGCTGGACAAGGGGCCATGACCGTGGTGGCTGGAGTCCCAGGGCCCTGGGAGAAGGTCATGCCTACTTCCTTGGAGGCTAAGCTGGAGGACACAGGAGAGCTGTGGAGCTTGAGAGGATCCTGAGGCTCTTTTGCAAAATGCTGAGTGACTCGGACATCAGGAATAACTCGGCCTCCACTGCTATCTGAGGAGGTAGAAGTGGAAAATGACACAGGCGCGGCGAGTTGGGTAGGGCTAGTGCCAGGGGTCAGTGGGCCACCATTTTGCTTCATTGGGTCCATGTATGCACTCTCAGCGTTCAGAAATTGCTTCTCCTTCTTCTTGTCCTCAGTGAAAGCCAGATCCCGCGAGGAGGCTTGCCGCATGCGGGCTATGCTCTGCGACGTCTGAAGGATCTCTTCGTAGACAGCTGCTCCGAGGCCTGCGGGTGTGCTTTCTGCAGCAGGCTGGGCAGCCCTGCCATAATCATGGTCTTGGGTGTCTTGATATTCAAAAGAGCCCTGCCCCCGGGGGCCTGTGGGCTGAGCAGGGCCACCATGGGGCCCCCGAGCCCCTGCCATCTGGCCCTGCTGTCGCTGGAGCAGCTCGGCTTTTCTCATCATATCCTCGTAGGCCTCCTCAGCACTCTTTAGGGGCCGTCCAGAACTGGGCGTGGTGGAGCTGCCCGAGGGTGCCTCAGTGGGTGAGTAGAGGGACATAAAGGCGGGCAGGTTGTACTCGCTGCCCGATTTGTAGAGTCGTGTGGGGCCACCATCCAGGGTCTCAGTCTCTGAGTCAAGGGAAGGGGAGGGGGAGTACTCAGAGCAGGAAGAGCGGTGTAGCTCCTCCATCTCTGCTGCCTGCCTCAGCTCCTCTGTGGGAGATGCATCTTCGATGGGTGACAGGTTACTAGGTGGTGTCTTGGAGCGTTCGCGTCGCCGCTGAGCCCGAAGTTCTTCCTTGTCCCGCCGGGTCTTGCGGGCTGTGCTGCGGATACGCTGCTGCTCCACCTCCCGCATCTTCTCCTGCTCGCGCAGCAGCTCCTCCTCCTCTCTAAGCTCCTCCTCCTCCGAGGAGTCCTCGATCGTGGGCAGCAGGGGCCCGTGGGAGCGGTGCCGGGCCTTGCGCTGCTGCTTCGCTTCTTCCAACCTCTGTCGGCGGCTAGGGCTGCTGTCACTGTCCTCCTCGAGCGAAGACAGGGAGGTGGGTGAGGTGCCAGATGTATAGCTAGGTGTGGAAGCAGGCAGGGTAGAGGAGTGCTCCCCGCGAGAGCGGTCTTCAGGGGACCCTGTCAGGCTCTCCATCTCCAGCTCAGGTTCCCGGTCCAGGCTGGGATCAGGACCTTGACTCAGGTCCAGCTCATGACCATAGCTACCTGTGCTATTGAGCTCAATGGTTTTAAAGCGGCGAAGACCTCCCTGAAGGGCTCCACTGGCGTCAGTGGGCTCTGCTGGGCCTCCCTCAGAAAGTAGTTCCTCATAGCCCGTGGTGGCATTATGGGGTAGGCGCCTCTTGGGCACTGCTACCGGTTCTTGGCTAGATTCAGGCCTGGCTCTGGCACTTCCCTTCTGGGTGCTGTGCTTGGCCAGGCCGCGCCCAGAGACAGCAGCGTCATCTTCCTCCAGGTTGTCTTCCTCAGCACTCATTTCCAGGATCTGCCTCCGCATGAACTCCTCATCAGTCAGTTCTGCCCGGGCAGGGGGCTGGGGTGGAAGAGGAGACAAGCCTCCCTCGCTGCTGTCTTCCACATAGTCATGCCTCAGCTGGCTGCCAAAGTCATCTGAAGACTCGGCTGTGTCTTGCTGTTCCCTCTGGTGCCCCCATGCCAGAGAGTCATCTTCCTCCTCTAGGATATCCCCCAGCTCTTCATCAGAGTCATAGGCCTCAGGCATGATGGACAGAGAGTGGGGGCGCAGTTTCTGGTCCTCAGCCGCGCTGCTGCGGGGTGGCTTGCTCCACTCACCACTGGGAGCCACCGCCTGGGCCTCTAGTGAAGGGCGCATGCTACTTCCCACTTTGTGGAGCTCTGAGGGGCTGGGTGGACGTGGCCCCGTCACCCCGGCACTGTCCAGTTGCTCCACATCTTGCTGTACGACCCCCGTGATCTCACTCTGGGAGCTGGATACACCATCGGAAGAATAGCCTGTGTCGCTGAGGCTCTGGGGGCTTCGAGACAGGTCCTGAGAGTAAGGCTTGCTGCCGGGTTCCTGCAGTAGGATGAGAAGCAGGTGTTTACTCCTAGCCCCTCAATCAATCCCAGGGGCCACGGGCAGGGTCCTCCATTTCCCAAGGGCTGCTCTTTGAATAACTTACAGATTCCTCAGCAAAGTAGATCTCCAAAGAGAAACTTTACTGGATCAAAGAGTAGGAAATCAGCAAGATGCCCAACTCAAGACATCTCTCAATCTCACAACCTTTAGACCTGCCAAACTTTTTGGTTGTTGTTAATTTATTTTTTTTTTTTTTTGAGATGGGGGTCTATCTACATGGTTCTGGCTGTGCTGGAACTCACTACGTAGACCAGGCTAGCCTCGAACTCACAGAGATCTGACTGCCTCTGCCTCTGAGGTGCTGGGGTTAAAGGTGTGAGCCAACACACCCAGCAATCTGCTGACATTTAATTTAGGCCTTCTTTCAGGTGGGGTGTCTCTGCAGTCCCAAATAGATTTATCTCAAGCTTACAACCTGAGCCCCTCAGGGAGGCAAGGCCTTCCCCAAACTGTCTGAAAGCCAGGATTCCTGGAAATTGAATAGAACTGACCTCAGCCTCCCCACCCTTGGAAGCTTCTGGAACAGGCTTGATGACTGAGGTGGCAGGTTCAGTCCTTTTCACCCCGCTTTTTGCTTTAGGAGTCCCAGGAGGCACAGTGGTCTCTGGAGGTGGCTTCGGCACAGGTTCAGCTTTAACTGGGATCCCTGTCTTCTTTTCCTGGGCACTGCTAGAGGTCTTGCTATGTTCAGAAGCCCTGAGGGGCTTGGCCTGAGGGCTGGCCTTGGCGGCCTGAGGACTGGCCTTGGCGGCCTGAGGACTGGCCTTGGCAGCCTGAGGACTGGCCTTGGTGGCCTGAGGACTGGCCTTGGCAGGCGAGGAGCCTGTTGGCTGGCCCAGCCCCTGTGGACCTTTCTGCTTCGGAGGGGCTGGTCCAGCTGCACGGTGAGGGACTCCTGCAGGGGGCTGCTGTGAGGTGGGCAGAGGCATGGGGGATGGCTCTCCCAGGCTGCCCTCCAACAGCCGCTTTGTTTGGCAGTTCAGACAGAGCCACTCTGTTTTCTGTAACGAAAAAGAAGGGAGGTGGATGAGAATCCCAGATACAAGAGTGAGCAGAGAGTGTTTCTACGATTCTCCATAGCCTTCAGGGAGGAAAGGGAGACAGACTCCTCTTGGTGACCGAACCAGAGCCTTGCACGATTTAAACATACACTGTACCACTGAGCCACTGAGCCATGCCCCCAGCCTGAGAAAGTCTTTCAAAGCATGATAACAGAGAAAAACTGACAGATATACTACCCCAAATTATAAACTTCTCAGGGACATATATAAAGTCAAAACACAAATGACAAGTTAAAAAGGTTTCTTTCTTAATCCATAGAGATATTTTCACTGGGCCATAAAAAGACAATTAACAGGGAGGAGAAACAACAAAAATTACAAAGGTTTGGGATGAAACACAGGGAGAGCCAGGGCCCCAACCTCAAGGACTGAATTGTAATTCAGGGGCTGTATGGGTTCAGAAGCCAAGAGGTCCTGCAGAATAGAAAAGGCATTCAGACACAGAGGCCATGTGTCCTAGAGGGACTGCCCTTTCCCTGCCTCCTCCTTCTGTGCTCTGACACCATCCTGCCCTTTCCTTCCCCAGGTCAGAGCTAGGCTCAGCTGGGGCAGACTTCTGGGGCCAGGAAAGACTAAGTGCAGCCCTGTGTGGAGTCAGCACTGAGCAGTCTTTGCTCACACTTCCAGCCCAAGCCTCCTTGTCTAAAACTAGCAAAGAACCCCAAAGAGAGGACTGCATGTGCCCAGGGCTCTCTGGACTGTCCCTCAGCGGAGAACCATGTCTGCTGGCTCTGGACTGTCCCTCAGTGGAGAACCGAATGTGGTGGATCTTGGGCCAAGAGCCCTGCTCCTTCCGGAGCTGGAGTGGCATCAATTCTTGGTCATCAGTAACCACTCTCAAAATCCACCAGCAGTTTTAAGACCAGGGCTAAAGACTGAAGACACAGTCGTGGTGAAAACAGACAAAAGGGGACCAGCACTGCCACAATTTGAATGTATGCTGTTCCCCATAGGCAAACACGTTTGAATACTTGGTCAGTAGCTGGTAGAGCTGTTTGGGGGTTGAGGAACCTTTGGACACGGCTCATAACTAGCAGAAATGAGTTGCTAGGGGTGGACTTAGAAGCTGATATCTACTTCTGGTTTCAGATCAAACTTCCTGCTTCCTGATCTGGTAAGATATGAATAAGGCTGTGTTATAAGCCACCGCCACAAACTGTGCTACCCCAGCTACCATGGTCCCTTCTAAACCATGGGTCAAAACAAATTTCTCTTAAGTTCCTTCGTTAGGAATTTGGCCACTGAGATAAGGGATACGGGCCCTTCCAGAACCCACAGCTTCAAACAAGCCATGATAAATAGGACACAGGAATCAGCAGCAAAGGCTTCAGCATCCTACAAGTCAATTCTTCAAATCCCAGCCAGATGCACAGGGGTAAGGCTTGGGCATCCCTGGCCTCTGAATGGGTGGTTCCTGCGCAGGTCTAGGCTGATAGGTGTATGTCTTCCAGGATCCTGGTTCAGGATCAGAATTTGATGCCTTGCCTTGGCTGCAAGGGGTGATGGGAAATGAGGGTTACAGTCCAGCCCAGAACGGGACCCTACTGACCACTCATTTCACTCTTGGCTCTGGGGTGCAGAAGTTTGACACGCCTTCCTGTTTGCTGCTGCTCATCCTGAGTGTGTAGACATGGGCTCCTACCAGTAGCTATGCCATTAGGAGGGATCACTATGAGAACCAGGGGTCACAGAGCCAAGGTATAGGAAAAAGAGGTGTCCTGTTGCCTTTGCTGCCTCAGACAAAACTCTGATCCCATCTCTGACCTGCAGAACCCACTCCGGAAGCAGCCATCTAAAACATAGTAAAGTGCTTTGGAGGAGCAGTGCGGACAGAGGCAACCCTAGTGTCCTGGGCCAGGCCCTGCAGAGGCCTGCTTATTCGAGCCCACAGTAAGGCCTTTAGTAGGGCATGCCACCTACAGTCGTGGGCTACTCCTTCACAGGTATTTTCACAAAGGCTTCTGGGTGGTGCTCTGCTTTCGTAAGTGGGGAGAAAGAGTGGGTGAAGAGAAGGAGCGGTGTGAAGAAAGAGCTAAGAATAAGCACCTGACCTGACTGCTGCAGGCCTTCCCCAGCCCAGCAGGAGTGGGAAGAGGAGTGGACAACCTGACTGCTGCAGGCCTTCCCCAGCCCAGCAGGAGTGGGAAGAGGAGTGGACAAGGTGCTGGGGCCCGGGAGGAGTGGAGCCAGAGACCAGGCAAAGCTTACACTTCCTGGGTCCCAGGGATGAGTGAAAGGCTGGCCATGCAGAACATCTGCGCCTAGGAGTTGGAGAACAGCTGTTGAGGTCCCAAACCTTCATCTCAGTCCCCACCACAATGTGCCCCCACCTCCACCCCTTATTCTTTCTTTCCTTGATCTTCCACTCACACCCATTCATTCTCTTTCTTAGCCTTTTTTTTTTAATGTGCATTGTATTCTGCCTGCATATATGTTTATGTGAGGGCATCTGGAGTTACAGACAGGTGTGAGCTGTCATGTGGGTGCTGGGAATTGAACCCAGGTCCTCTGGAAGAGCAGCTAGTGCTCTTAACAGCTGAGCCATCTCTGCAGCCCCCATTACTTTAGTCTTTATTTCTTTACTTTCCTCATTCACCTGCTCAGAATATGAATATCTCCCTTGTGAAGCCTCACCAGCCCCAGCAGTAGGAGAATGGATGTCTATTCATCCCTTTTGCTTGGCTCTTTCGGGAAGCAGCCAGAGAACAGACAATGGGGAGGCTGATGACCACCTCTTGTCTTGTCTCTGTTAGTCCATCCGGGGACAGGAAGATCCAAGTTTCCCAAGAACAGTCATTAGCTCAAGCTGGGACCCATGGGTGCATGTACCAGGAGTGCAGTGGCTCAGGTGTCACTGTCACACAAGTAGACAAGGTGCAGTACCTGGTCTGGTTTTTCCGGAAGACTGAGATGGTTATTATTGCTCCCAACCCACACAGAACAGGAAGGAAGTTAAGGGATTGGGTATGGGTTAATCCCAAAGCATGTGAGAACTTAGCCTTTGAACCACTGACTAGTGGGGATATGGAGACTGTGGGGCCGTGGGATGCTGGGCATTCTCCCTACACTGACTGCTACTGTCTGAATGAGGCCAAGGGCCACATGTTCTCTTTATTTGTGGAGCTTCTTGGTGTGCCAGTTACTGCGATACCATCCTGACCTATACCTCCCTAGCCATATATACTGCTGGACCAGAGGCAGCGAGGACGAACCCCGGGAGAGCTGAGTATGGTGACTCATGTCTCTAATCTTAGTACTTGGGAGGCTGAGGCAAGACAGTTGCCATAATTTTGAGGCCAGCCTGGGCTAAAAAGTGAGATTCTCTCTCTCAAAACCAACCTCCTTCCCCTAAAAGACTCCACAAAATAAATGGACACCAGAAGCTAAGGACTCAGACGCTGGGTCACAGGCATGGCCAGCGCGGTGCTGCTGGTCCTTTATGATTGTGTGATGTCCACTCCATCCCATGCCGCTGGATACGGGCAAACTCCTCCTTTCTGGATCTGTGCCTCCTACAAGGAGAACCTTACTCAGTGTCTCCACTGTGCTCCCTTGAAGCTGCGATGTGCTCCCTTGTGCCCTAGTACCAAATGTGCCCATTCCCTATACAGTATTCTCAGGAACAGAGCCTGGCTGGTCTCAGTGCTCACTGACATTCAGGTTATGGGGGCCTTGTGAGGACTCTTCCTCCCGTCATGGAGATTCTCTCGAGGACACCTAAGGACTGATGACTGTGAGGACCTGGATATGCGCCTGAGGTACAGCAGCTCACATGGACACCACATGGGAAGAAACGGGACTCTCTGAGATTGCCACCCCAGAGGCAGCCTGAGGTGAAGCAGGAGGCAGCTGTGTGCCTTGTTCTTCATGCCACACTGTAGCCTCTGTCTCTAAGACCAGTCTAGTCCTGCATGTCACAGGTGCAAGGCCATTTGCCCAGGGAGGCTTGGTCTTTTAAGGGCACAACTGAAATTTTGGCAATGAAAATGAGAAAGCAGTGATATAACTGTAACAATCCCACTAATGTCTTCATACTATTGAACTGAAAGTCAGTTAGAAAATAAGCCAGAGGGTACTATTATCTTTCAAAAAGATGAATAGGTTAGAAAGGAGTTGGAATCAGCACTCTTAATTATGAAATAACCCATTACAGAGCACTGAGGCTGCCTTCTTCAGAAGAAGAAGTTTCAAGCAAAATTGGTCCAACTTCAGTGATTCTTCTGTGCTATTCTCTGGACTCTGTCTAGAAAGAAGGGGAAAGATTTTCACAGCTGCAGATGCTGAGGAAAATGGCCAACTTATTGGGGTTTGCCTGAGGGCAGACAATAGGGAGCTGCGAGTCTGTCCCTCCCTGTACATGGATGCCGAGGTGCCTTACAGTGTGTGCAGAGACACAGCTGGGTCCCGCTGAGCTAACAGCTGGCTCAGCCCCAGCAGACTAGCTCCCGTGACCTGCACAAGGCCCAGCATGCTGACTCTAATGCCTTGCTCCAAGGCAGGGTGGCTCTCTTAGCACCTGTGAAGAATCGGCAGCCTCTGACCAAGAAGTGCAAACTAGGTCACAGGGAAGCACAAAGTTGCTCCAAACAAGTGACCATTCGGGGGTGAGATCAAAGAATGCCCACGGCCTAGTTAGAGACTCCAGTAAAGCCACACTGGAAGGAAGGAATGGGGTCACCATGCAGCAGTCCCTCCCCGCCAGCTATGCAGAGGCAGCCACACATCCAAGGCAGCTGAACCTGCAGCAACTTTTGATAAATGTGTAGATGGGAGGAAAAGATAGAGCGGTCCAGGGCTGTGGCCACTGGATGAAAAGCAGACCAGATTCTTCCAACAGCGGGATGTGGGGCTATGGGGGCTTGGTCTGAGGAGTGGATGCTGAGGTGAGAGGAACTGAGGATGATGGACAATAGTAGTGTTTCCACAGGAAAGGGCATTGGGACTGCTGGTCCACACCTTCCTCAGAGCAGCCATAGCCCGTCTGAGGACAGTGGCATCAATAGACAGAGCTACCGAAATAAAGGGATTGGAGGCTATCCCTTCCTTGACTGCTGTTAGAAGCAGCAGGCACGGAGGCAGATGGGCTGACTTTGGGAGGAGATAGGACCAGTGCCCCATCAGCCACGTGTTCAGGCTCATGGAACCTATAAGACTATGGAGGCAAGGACTGCACTGTTCAAGGAGGTAGCTCCGAGGCAGGGCATGGGATAGACAGCCAGGTATGGGACGGCAGGGCATGGGAGTTGGTAATGCTGCCTGCTGAGAGGCAGAAGATCCAGAGTCCAGAAAAGCTGGGACCAAGCAGATAAAGAGAAGCCTGGATTAGAATTCAGATGGCTCATCTCAAGTTCCCACGTGACTGGAACACTTTCGTTTGGACTGATCCAGCATTTACTGTGGTCTGCCCCAGAGGCTGCCAAAAGGAGCTGTCAGGAACATTTATGCTCTTGGATAGACAGTTCCCCCTCCCTCTAAGCACATCCTGCTTACTGAGAAAAATGGGCTGAGAAGTCTCTTGGGGATAAGGGCTTCCGAATCGGGTTAGCTTAAGAGTCCACTGGGGCTCACGGTCCCTCTGTGTCAGAGCATCCCGCCTGACCAGAGTGAGCTTATACTTAGAGGAGCCCTGGAGGCACCTGGAGACTCCTTGATAGACCCTTCCTCACCGCTGGCCAGACCAAGTGTCCTCCAACGAGCCACTGAGTCTCCAGCTTGGACAGGTAGTAGTGTCGGGCACAAAGGGCCATGTGAGTAGCACATAAAGAGTCCCACTTGGCCAGGTGGTGGTGGCACACACCTTTAATCCCAGGCTGGGGAGACAGGCGGATCTCTGTGAGTTCAAGGCCAACCTGGCCTACAGAGTGAGTTCCAGGGTTACACAGAGAAAAATAAAACAAAGGAAGGTGTGTGGTGGGTACCATTTTACTCGGGGCTACTCCTCCCCAAAGATGCCCATGGTTTTTACATGGGTGGTCCCTGGCAAGGGAAAGAAGTAACAGGATTAGGGCAAGAGCAAACAGAAACACAAGGCCCAGGATGTTCTAGCTTTGCCTGGGTACTTCTGTCTTTCAGGCCTTTCCAGGACTCCCTGCTTGACAAGAACACCAGGCCCAATACCAGGCTTCTATCTCCCTCCTCCTTGGCTCTGCCCAGGGCCCAGTATACTTTTCTGGAGCAGAAACAGAGGGAAGAGTGTGTATCTTCATCCCTGGCTTTCCTCAAGTTTTCCTATGGGGAAAAGCACTTTTGAGCATCCTATCCCCAAGGACAGCTCAAGCCTACCCAGGAGAAAACACGTAGATGAAAGGCAAGGGCTTTGGCAAGTAAATATTGATACCCATGACCTCGAGAGAGAGGATCAAGTATAGATACCAGCTGGCTGGTCTGACACCGGGGTGGAAGGAAACAGTCTATTTCTCGGTGAGAAAGCCTGAAGCCCCAAGGTGTGCGACAGCCTTCTGCCCCGTGCGGCAAGACCTTCAACTCCCTACCCTCGAGAGAATCATAGATCCATAGCAGGGTCTTCCTACCTGATCCAAGAGGTTGACATCTCTCATTAAGGCCATGCTCTCAGGAAAGGCAGCCTAAGCCTGGACTCAGCCCCACAGTGCTGGCCAGCCAGTGAGAGCCAGTAGCTACGGTTAACCCCACCTACTGTGACAGTTCTGAGGGAAAGGGCTGGAGCATGAAGCAGGGGCAGGAAGTGGATTATGACCCCTCTGTAGCACTGGCTGTTAGTGTGGCCCTTTGACCGCTGCAGCCCCAGTTCTCTGTGGCTCCCTTGTGTCATGGCTCTTTTGTGCTTCCTTTCCCATACTCTAGGCCCCGCCCCCTCAACCTAGTTCCCAGGTTCCTTACCTCCACCAGGTGAGGCGTGGGGTTGAAGCCACACAGGTTGCACACCTGGAGCTTGCAGGTAGTGCAGGTGTTGTAGTTGGCCGGACCCTTGCTACCCACATTGAGCTCAGCTTGGCACAGTGGGCATGTGGCCCTTTCCTTCGGCGTGGTCTTTGGCTTGGCAGCAGCCTTGGATGCTGCCTGATGTTCTGCTCTGCCATGCTTTGGACTGGCTGTTCCTCCAGTTTTTGCCAGGGCTCCAGGCCCTGGTCCAGGACCTGTTCTTGCCCCAGACTCAGTTTTGGCTCCAGGTGCTGGCCCGGACCCAGGCCCTGAGCCTGGGGGTCTTGGGCCAGCCTCCTTGCTGGCATCACTGAAGACGATCTTGGGAGGCCCCTTGCTGGGGGAAGGCTGGCCCTGGGAGTCAGCCTCTGGCTGCACAGACATAAGGGTGCTCGCCTGGGTCAGTAGTGATGCTCCAAGGCCGAAGAGTTTCCCGGTGAGGCCCTCCTGGGGCTGTTCACCAGCACCAAGCCCAGAGGGCACTGTGGTGGCACTTTTGCCCTGGGCCTCTCCTACAGGTGGCCTGGGCTCAGCTGTGGAAGGCTTGGTAGAGAGGGGGGGCTGAGGAGACACCCTCCCCACCTCTGGAGGGGCAGTTGCCTGGGTAGGCCCAGGGACTGAGGTGGCCCTGGCTGTTTCAGCCTGGCGGGGACCAGACTGTGTGGCCCCTGGGCCCCGGGATCTCTCTTGCTCTGGCTTCCCCAGAGGCTGTTTGGCTGGGGAGTGGGCAGGGGACAGGGCAGGGGAGTGTAGCTGCTGCTGGCTCTTGGATCGAGGCGCAGTGGTCATGTCCATTCCCAGAGCCCTCTGCATCTGACAGTTCAAACAGAGCCACTCCTTCACCTGAGGGAAAAAACAACAGAGTCAGCAGAGTGGACACGGTCAGGGTGCACAGGTTCAGGCTGCTGCAGGACCTTCTGGTCTCCACACGCACCAACACACACACACACACACACACTCCTCATGCAGAATTAGCAAGTAAAGAGCAGTAGGTGAGAGAGGAAAGCACAGGAATAAATGAAGCCATGATAGACTTCCTGTTCTGGAAACCCTTATGTTCCCACCAAAGGAACAAGAGAGAGAACACAAGCTCCCGAGAGCAGAGTAGTGAGAGGCATTAATGGGATATGATGATTTAAGGCGTCTAATTTTCTTTGAGTTTGCAGCTTAGACTATTGTTTGTTTATGGTGTCAGTGATGAAACCCAGGGCCACACGCACACTAGGCAAGAACTCTATCTCCAGCCACAAGACAAGGAAGATGAGACAATTGGTCTCTAAGACAAACAAGGCATGCCCTGATATTCATATTCTAAGCATGTACCTGTACAGGGATGGACATGTGACCATGCCACAAGACCAGTCTCAGTCTTCCATGTCACCTCTGCACTAAATGATGTTTTTCCTTTTGGACTTCCAGTCTTATGAGTAAACACTACCTTTTCCTGACAAATAAAACCACGGAGAGGTCAGAGCACACCACCTATAGACTCACGGCCCTCTAACCACGGAGAGGTCAGAGCGCACTACTACAGACTCATGGCCCTCTAACCATGCAGAGGTCAGAGGGCACCACTACAGACTCAGCCCTCTAACCATGCAGAGGTCAGAGGGCACCACTACAGACTCAGCCCTCTAACCATGCAGAGGTCAGAGCACACCACCTACAGACTCAGCCCTCTAACCATGCAGAGGTCAGAGCACACCACCTACAGACTCGGCCCTCTAAGCGCTGCACTACAACCTCACAAGCCGCCCCAGCCTTGTTTTCCATCTGACTTCTCCTGTCAAACTCCTTTGGCTGTCTCACCTGACACACTGGGTCTCCTGCTATACCAAATGATCCTCAAAGCTCAAGAGGCCCCAAGGCTGCCTGCAATAGGTCTCTGCTGCTGTCAGGCGGCTTGTCAGGTGGGAACCTGAGCTCAGGCATCCTGTCCCAGCAGCCCACGAACAGCACCCAAAGATGGGGAAACATCGCCTTGTGATGAGCGCCCACTTGTGCAAGCACCCTGGAGGCCTTGGGCAGGGCGGTCTTGTCCTCACAGCAGAGGAAACCAAGGCTGAAACGAGGTAGAGGTGTGCTCTTGTGGTCATGGGGTTGGGGGAACTCTTGTGGGCAAGAGCAGCCCTGGCAGCTGTGTTTAACTCCTGATTTCTAGGCTGAGCACGCTAGAGCCCAGTGCCTTCTGTAGTCCAACCTCTCCTGATGGCCACTCAACTTTATACAGGCCAAGTTCAGAGTACTGCAGACACTGGAATATCCATCTGCCCAAAAGGCCACACCCAGCTCTAGACACAGTGTGACTGAGGTGGAGAAGCCTCGGTCCAGCGGGAAACTGTTAACCCACCCCTGTGCTTTTGAAAACCCAGTGGGATTTTGCCTTCACTGGATAGAGAAAGCCATAGGAACAGCTTTTCAGTCCTGGGTACTCTCCTGAACAGTTCATTATAGATGGGAAGTGGCTTCACGCTCATGGAATGTAAGGTCCCAGGGACGGCTGCCTCTGCTCACCGGACGAGGGACACTACAAGATTTGCTCTCTAACCGGGTCCCATCCTCTATCCCAGGGTGGTAGCCACCAAACCCATTCTTGTTGTGGAGGCCTAGGCCATACCCAGTGTTCCGATTGTTGTCACCCATGGTAAGACTTCCTGGGATTTGGGAGGTAAGTTCCCTGCTCTGAGACTTCAGGGTGACCCTGTTTGGGCTAAACAAAGACACGTGTTATTGACACTCCGGCACTCACCATTAGCACCTTCCTTTCCCCAGCCCCCCCTCACCAAGGCTGTGCCACAGCCATCTCACCTAAAATAGAACCTCTTCAAGAAATGGCTGAAACACCCCTCAGTGACTCATCTGCCAGATGGGCGCAGCTATTTCTATCCAGCCTTTTCCAGACGGCGGTGAGAAGAAGCCTTGACCGCATCCTCCCCGAGTCTCTCCTGGGTTCAAGCTTAGGCAGACAGACATGGTTCATGAGGCCTCCCAAGGAGGACTCTGGCAGAGGGAGCTCTCTGAACTCAGCAAGACTCTTTCTGCCTCCCACGAGGTCCCCAGGGGTTCTCTGGGAAAGTCCTATCCTACACTCTTCTCCCTACTCCAAGGTCCCCACTATGCCACACTATGGGACTAGGTGGCAGGAATCCCCTTAGGGTCCTGCTTTCCTGACCAGGCATTTGCCAAGGAGATGTGAATGTCTCATGTTTCATGTTCCAGGAGCCAGAAGTAGAAGGGTGGTACCTTCTTGGTCTACCCTAAGGTAGATGACACTTAAAAAAAAATTATTTATTTTTTAAGTATACAGTAGTCTGCATGCATGCCTGCCTGCGGGCCAGAAGAGGGCACCAGATCTCATTACAGGTGGTTGTGAACCACCATGTGGTTGCTGAGAATTGAACTCAGGACCTTTGGAAGAGCAGGCAGTGCTTTTAACCACTGAGCCATCTCTCCAGCCCCTAGATGACACTTCTTTCCAGCATCTCAGAAGGTTGACAGGGTCCTCCATGCATTCCCTGAACCCAGCCCTGGGAGGGCCTGGAGGCAGTAAAGAAGGCTCAGGGTGGAACACATGGTCGCTGTGGTTTGGGAGCTGGGAAGTAGAGGCTGCAGGGATGTGGCTTTGCACAGCCTGCCCATGCCACCAGGATGCCGGGGATCTGCAAAGGTGTGGCCCAACGGGCTCCATGGCTCGGAGAAGACTTTCTCCAGAAGAGACCCCCTCCCATCTGCTCTTTACTCAGACTGTTCAATGTGCAGAAGAGCGGCTAAGTAGTCCCCAAGACCAGCAGACTAGGCAGCTTGTTCTGCGGACCCTCAGTTGAGTGAGGAGTTTATGGGTAATGTCTGCACCAGCCACTCCCTGCTGTTCCTTCTACCGGCTTCTGGGGCAGCAAGGGAAGTGGAGGCATATTCCCTGAGATGGGCTTTAACACCCATCCCTGCCCCTCAACAAGGATATCAGCGGCCTGCAGCCTACCACCGTGTATCAGCCTCAGGTAGGCCCAGGCATATTAGACACATCTGGTCTCACAAGATGCTGCTGGAAAGCTCCAAGGGCCCCAGAGCAAACAGGTCCTCTTGCCGCTTTCCTCCCCTAGTCCCGTAGCAGAGAACAGGGCTGCAGATCTGTGCCACTGCCTGCCTTCCCGGGGAGAGCAGCCTGCCTCTGAGCCCTGGCCCTCACTGGGAGAGCAGCATTCAGTGCTGAATCGCTAAGCACTGACATCATGCCTGATACCGAATTCATCCTTTCCATTTTAAACATCACAGAGGCGGCTTAAAAAGGAGACTCCCCTGCTGCCACCAAAGCCAGAGGGTCCTGGGATGACCCCATGCCAGCATGACTCCATGCATTTCTGCGCTGAGTCACTGGTCAGGTCTCATTAGGAGGTAAGCTCTCCTCCAACCTTTACCCCTAGACACCAAGGAGAGGCCAGGGTCTAGGCTGGCCTAGACCTTCTTATAACAGTAGCAACCACCTGCCGTATCCCATTCCCGCTGTTGCAAGTCCACCAACAGCGCGGTTTGCCTGTCCGCTGTGAGCTCAGTTTATACACAGGGCACCTCTGAGCATGACAGGGAAGAATATGTGACCCAGTCAGATGTGATCTACAGAAGAAGCCTGTGGCAATCCAGAGAACTGAGGGTGGCCTTGGGAGTGGATATGTTTGTGAAGGCAGAATCATTCCAGTCCATGAGGCTGGAAGGCCTCACTGGTCTAGAACGCCATGAAGGGAGGTTATTCCTTGCTGGCCCCTGGGCACATCTGCCTTTCTACTCCTCTCTCAGTGCTCTGGACAGCCTCCCTTCCCTCTCAAGCTCTTCTCTCTCTCCACAGTCTCTCCTCAGAGCCCAGGCCAGCCCTCCTGCAGAGCCTGCGCTCCTTGGGCCTGTCTCAGCCTTCCCTTTTTAACTCTTAAGGACCTTTGGAGTTCATCGCCTGGCTTCATATTCTTCTCTCCTCTTGGATTTTGTTGGTTTCCAGGCATCTTCATCTAGGTCCTTCTTTGCCAAAAGTCCTTGCTGTTACCTCTCAAATACCACTGAGCTCACTCCCACAATTCATGCAGATGCTCTCAGTCCCCACAGGCCTGACCCAGCTCTCCAAAGCCACTGAAAGGTACATTTAAGCTCAGTAAATGTCATTACACGTACATTTTCCCTAAAATAACCTACAGTAAATACTGAATCCTACTTAATAGTGATATGCCTACTAAAATGGTCAGTGAGAAGTATATTAATATCTGCAATACACTTTGAAAATCAACAAAGAAATCAGCTCGATGGACAGGCAGTCGGAAGGACAGAGAGGTGATGAAGCCAGGAGAAATCCAAGCACAGTGGTGCATGCCTGTAAAGAAAGTTTTACTCTTTGGGCTGGGGCGGGGGGCGGGGGGGGGGCGACACACCACACAGCTACCAAATAAATCACACATGGAGGTTTACTCTTAGTTATGAATGCCCAGCCTTAGCTTGGCTTGTTCCTTGCCAGCTTTTCTTAAATTATCCTGTCTATATTTGGCCTCGGGACTTTTATCTTTCTCTATTGCTGTATACTTAATCTTCTTGCATCCATGTCTGGCTGTGTGACTGGGTGGCTGGCCCCTGAAGTCCTCCTCCTTCCTCTCGTTTCCAGATCTCTTTTTTTCTCCCAGATTTCTCCTTCTATTTATACTCTCTGCCTGCCAGCACTTCTTAGTCTCTCTCCTGCCTCGCTTTTGGCCATTCTAGCGCTTTATTAGATCATCAGATGTTTTAGGCAGGCAAAGTAACACAGCTTCACAGAGTTAAACAAATGTAACATAAACAAAAGTAACACACCTTAAAATAATATTTCCCAA